CTTTCCTAATGACTAATGCTATTTGGCATCTTTTCATATGCTATATCCCATCTATATAACTTCTTTGATACAGTGTCCAAATTGTTTGTTCATTTTTAACATGTTTGTTTCCTTATTGATTCTTTGATAGTTTTTAAAATATATTCTGAATACAAGCCTGTGTGAGAAATGTGATTTGCAAATGTTTTCAACCTACCAGTTTGTGGCTTATCTTTTTCATTCCCATTATAGTGTTTTTCAAAGAGCAGAAGTTTTTAATTTTGATGAAGTCCAGTATATACATTTTTTTATTTTATGGATTATACTTTCAGTATTTCATTTGGATTGATCTCTTTCTGGTAACTTTTTTGTTCTGATCCAGGATCAGAGAACATGCATTGTGTTGTTGGTGGCCATGTCCTGTACTTTTGAATATTCCCTGACATCGTTAGCTTTGAGGGGCCGGTTTGGGAGAATTACTGGTGACCTCTTTGTTGCCATATCCAACGGATAGTTCTTTGTCTTCCACCTTCATTTCTCTGCATATTCGATTTCTCTCTTGAAATACTTTCTCTGCTTGGCCTGAGACACCACGCCCTCTGGTTTCCCGCCTCCCTCCCTGGCCGCTTCTTCCCATCCCCTTGATTGATTCCTTCTCATGGTCCAGCCTCCAGGCCTTAAAGTGCCCTAGGCATCAGTCTATATACCCTGTCCCTTCCTTATCTCCTCCATCCCTTTCATTTGCATTTCCACCCATTTAGTGACTCCCAATTATATCTCCAGCTCAGACATCTATAAACTCTGCCTTCAGACATCTTCGTGTGTGTCTGAGATGCATCTCAAAATGTTATCGTGCCCAAAATAAAATTCCTGATTTCCTCCCTACCCCAAGTCTGTTCCTTCTGTATCTTCTCCATCCCAGTAAATGGATACTCCATTCTTCTAGCTTTTCAGGCCCAGGATTGTGGTGTCTTCCTCCATTCTTCTCTGTCTCACACCTCAGGGTATCAGTCTTTCTTAAATTTATCCAGAACCTGACAACTTGTCACCCTTCTCTCTGCTACCACCTTAGTGCAGGTCACCACCATCTTTTATGGCCTTTCTTTTACTGCCTCCTGCCTCTCCTCTTGCCCTCTGCAGTTTACTCTTTATATTGGCCCAAAGGATGCTTTTTAACACCTCAAGTGAGATTATGTCATTCTTCTGTTCAAACCCCCAGTGGCCTCCCGCATCTCTAAGCACAATACAAAGGTCTGCGAGGTCCATCCTTCAACACCTTTCCCCTCGCCCACCACACCCTGCGATCCTGGCCTTTGGGCTGTTCCTAGAACACGTCTAGCCATGCCTTCCTCAGGGCCTTTGCACTTGCTGTTCCTTCAGCCTGGAATGCTCTTCCAGGTAATCGCATACCTTATTCTTTCACCTTACTCAGTTCTCTGCACAAATGTTACTTTATAGAGAGGCCTTTGCTGAGTGCCTTGTTAGAGCAGCACCATGCTTCCGTGCCTCCCGTGCTTCCTGTCCCTTGTACCAGACTTTATTTTCCCTCATTGCACTAAAGTCCCCTGGCATGATACATTTGGGCTGGTGCTTACGGATAGTCTTTCTCAGTAGATTGTAAGCCCTGGGAGGGCAGGAGCCACGTCCGTCTAAACAGCACGTAGTGGGTGCTCACTAGGGATGAGTGGAATAGGTACCTTGGTGAAAATGCTTTTGACTCTGTAGATTTTATCTCTATCCTTGGAGCTGGCTCCTTGGGGCCATTCGGACTTTCTTCCTGCTGTCATGGTCCCGGGAAGGGCTGGCTCTCAGCCTCCCGCCCTAACGCTCCCAGGCCGGATCAGCTGGTCCGCTCTGCTGGAGTCCCCCTTCGTGCGCATACTCATGGACAGCCACGGGGGCGTCACCCTGCTGCCGTCTCCTGTGGCTGCAAATGGCAGCGCCAATGAAGTACTGATCCATCACCCCAGTCCTGTGGCACAGAGTGGTCAGTGGCCAAGCCCGCTTCCCAGAATGTCATCAGGACACCGGGTTCTCCCTCACTCTGGGTGACTCAGCATGAGGGATTTATCACTCAGCCTCACGGGCATCTGTGCTTCATCACCCCCTCCTGTTTGCTGTCCTCCATCTGATGTCAGAGCAAATTCAGGGCAGCGGCGGCCTAATCACTGCTGCCAGGAACTGCTGGCCACAGGGAGGCAGTGGCTGTCGTGACCCACAGGGACGGGCAGAGGTGACTGCTCTCCAGAAACTGAGGCAGAGCAGATAGCTGGTGGAGTGGCAGCCTGGGACCGTGGCCTTCAGGCGGGACAGCCTCCCTGGGTGTCTCTCTGACACGGGATACCCAGGCACGTCCTAGGTACCGCGTCTGCTGTGTGGCTGTTTGTATTCTGCAAAGTGATATCATAAACCTTTCATTTGTCCCACATGCCCTGGGTTATTCCTTTAAAACTTCTTTATTTAAAGTCTTTATCTATCTATCTATCTATCTATCTATCTATCTATCTATCTCTCACCTGAGGATATGTTTGCTGAGAGAGAGAGAGAGAGAGAGAGAGAGAGAGAGAAGCATCGATGTGAGAGAGAAACATTGATTGGCTGCCTCCTTTATGCACCGTGACTGGGGATCAAACCTGCAACTTAGTTATGTGCTCTGACTGGGAATTGAACCTGCAACGTTTTGGTGCATGGGGAGATGCTCCAACCAACTGATCCACCTGGCCAGGGCAAAAGTCACCCTTTTTAGTGTATAGCTGTGAGAGTTTTGACCAATGCTTCCAGTTGTGTGCCCACCTCCACAAGCAGAATATAAGCCGAGTTCTGACATCGCCCCCACATTCTGCCATGACCCCAGGGCCAACCCCTCTCCCCAGCTGCTGCTTCTGGCAGCTACTGATCTCTCTTCTATCCTTCGAGTTTTGCCTTTTCCAGAACATCCTGTGAATGGAGTCATACAGTCTGTAGGCTTTTGAGTCTGGCTGCTCTCACTCAGCTTAATGCATTTGAGATTTACTCGTGTTACTACGTTATTCGGTCTTCTTTATAGCCGAGTGTTATTCCATGGAATGGAGATTTGCTTACCCATTAACCAGCTGAAGGATATTTAGATTGTTTCTGGTTTTTGGTGATTATGACTAAAGCTACTAGAAACGTGTACATAAAGGTTTTTGTGTGGATATAAGTTTCCATTTTTCTTGGGTAAATACCTTGGAGTAGATAAACTAGGTTGTGTGGTTGGTATATTTAACTTTCTATCTCCCAAATGGCTGAGCCCTGTTAGAGCCCCAGTGTGTGAGGATCCCAGTTCCTCCATCTCCTACTGGCTCCTGGGTCGGTCAGCTTTAACTTGAGCCATTCTCATCAGTGTATGTTAATATCTCATTGTGGTTTTAATTTTCACTTTCCTAGCAGCTAACGATGTTGAGCATCTTTTCATGTGTTTGTCATTCTATACTTTCCTTTCCGAAGTGTTTAAATCTTTTGCCCACTTGAAAAATGGAGTTGCTTTTCTTATTGGGTTTTGCAAGTTCTTTGTTTTTTGGATACAAGGTCCTTATCAGATATAGGATTTGTACATATTTTCCCCGAGTCTATGGCTCATCTTTTTATTCTCTTACCAGTGTCTTTTGAAGAGCAAAAGTTCTCAAATTTGATGAACTCCAATCCATCAATTTTGTTCTCTTATGTATCAGGCTATTGATGTTACATCTAAGAAAACTTTGCCTTACCTAAGGTTATAATGATTTTTCTCCTGTTTCTTTAAAAAAAGTTTTTTAGTTTTAGGTTTTACAAATGGTCCATTTTGACTTAATTATTTATAAGGCGTGAGGTGTTCCATACCTTAAAGTTAATTTTCTTTCTTTCTCTTTTTTGGTATATAGATATCCAATTGCTCCCTACTGTTGGTTGTAAAGACTGTTCTTCTTCCATTTCATTGTTTTAGCACCTTGTCAAAGATCAGTTAAGATTTTTTGTGTGCACTGATTTCTCCATGGATCTATGTGACTGTCATGTCACCAATACCATAGTTTTTAGTAAGCCTGGAACTCAGGTAATGACCACACCTACTTTTTCAGCATGGAGGTTATTATTTTCCCCATGTTGCAGGTGGGGAAACTGACCACGTCATGGTGAGATGCCTCGCTCACAGCCTCCCTTACGTACGTTAGCCGCTCAGCCCCATCCTCAAAACCTACCTCTTCTCATGCCTCACCCGATGTTCAGAGTGGCCTTTGGGGTCTGATTTGGCTTTAACTCGCAGCTTTGTTTTTATCAGTTGTGTTTCCCCATCTGTAAAATGAGTGTAATGAGGCAACCTGCTTTCTAGATTGTGGTGAGGATTACGTGAGTATCAGATCAGAACATACAGAATTGCTGGTATTTGACCATTTTTGACTGCTACAAATGATACTTTTACGTAGTGCAACCTAATATGCAAAATGTTCCTTCTAGCACCGGAGAGCGGGTATGTACTTCAGAAATGGTAGCCGCAGTTGTCACTTGTCATTGCCATTGTCATGATTATGACTGTTCATGCCGCTGTCGCTACTCTACTGTTATTGTGGAGGGCGGCGGCCCCTGAGACCGATGGCTAGTGTTCCGTGTGTGCTCGAATCAGGCAGCCAACCACCGCCCAGTACTTCCTGGATGACAAACTTCCTGCTGAATCTGCAAAGAGTGGTAGGGCCCATCCTCTGCTCTTGTGGAGCAGAAGTACCCACCTGGTTTCATAGACAGGTGTTCTCCTACAGCCTCGTTAGGTGGCCCTTGCAGGCCGATTGGGAGTTTGGGATGGGAAGAACATTCCAGGTGCAGGTGACAGCTTGTGCAAAGGCTTGGAAGGGGGAATGGACAGGCTTGTGAGGGTCCTGAGGTCTGACTTGGGGTGGAGAGTGGGGAGCATCCCACCATAGCCCAGAATGGGTCCACAGAGAACCTGAGCCTTTCTCTCCATAGGTGGCCAAACACCCTTGAGAAGCAGAGTTCAGGAGACCCCTCTCACCTGTTCCCCTGCCTTTGCCATGACTGCGAACACCATTGTCATCGACCACGGGTCTGGCTATCTGAAGTCTGGCTTCTCCGGCTGGAACGAGCCGCAGATGATCTTCCCGAGCATCGTGAACTACAGGCCGTGCAGGGAGAACCCCGGCCCCAGCTCCGCCCAGCGGCAGCTGGGTCTCGGCATTGACGTTTTCCATCCTGACACCTTCAGCTACCCCATTCAGCGTGGCCGCGTCCTCAACTGGGAGGGTGTGGAGCACATGTGGTCCTTTGTCCTGGAGAAACACAAATGGGAACATGAGGTCTCCCCTGTATTGTTCACTGAGTGCCCCCTGAAGGAGCCTGCGGACCGAAAGAAGACACTGGAGGTAAGGCCTTCTTGAGGCTGCTGCGGCTGGGCAGCGGGGAAGAGCCGGCACTCTGTGTTCAGACACGATTGGCTGTTAGGATGTCTGGCTTCTTTCTTCATCATTTGCCCCACAAATGTTTCCTGTAGTACCTGTAAAACAGAAATGGGTCAGGACCCTTGTTCAAGGAAAATACCCTGTGTGTCTGTTTTCTCCCTTCTTGCAGATTATGTTTGAGTCACTGTACGTCCCGTCCCTCCTCCTGGCTGACCAGCTGGAGATGTCCCTGTACTCGTCTGGCCTCCTGACCGGCGTGGTGGTAGACTCTGGCTATGGCCTGACCCGAGTGCAACCTTTCCACCTGGGCCGTCCCTTGCAGGCCGGCTGTACGACGTTGGAGTTCGCCGGCCAGGATCTCTCCGCCTATCTCTGTAAAAGCCTCTTTAAGGATGACGTCAATGCACACAAGGTATTTCGGCTGCACATGGTGGGCACCGTTCAGATGAACCAGTGCTATGTGCCGCAGAATCTGGGGGAGGCGCTGGACTTCCTTCAGGGCCTGCCGGGTGGCTCCGATGAGAATAACACCTACCAGCTCCCGGATGGCACCTCTGCGGAGCTGACCCCCATGCAGCGGCTGGCCCCCGAGATGTTCTTCAGCCCTGAGGTGTTCAACCTGCAAGGGCCCAGCGTCTCCCAGGCTCTCATGGATTCCATCAAAACCTGTGAGGCCTCCTTACAGCCCCTGCTCATCTCCCATGTGATAGCCTGTGGAGGGAACACCCTGTACCCTGGCTTCACCGACCGCCTGTACAAGGAGTTGGCCACAAATCATTCTGCTGGCACCAACGCCACGGTGTGGGTAGGTTCTAAAAGAAACTTTAGCGTCTGGCTGGGAGCGTCTGTTGTGGCTCATCTGTCTACGTACAAGTCTGAGTGGATGACCAAGGAGGAGTATAACGAGAGATAGAGGCTGTGTGCCCTGTTGGTGTGCGCGGTGGAGACTGGGCTCTCACCTGATGGACGCGGGTGGATAAATTTCAGTGAGAGGGCCTGGGTCAGGGTGGGGTTAGCTGGCATTGGAATTCTGAGCTCATGGGGGATTTTTTAAGTGCTGGGGTTTTATCTTGTTTCAAGAATGGGATCCAAGCCATGGGAGAGCAGGGTATCATCCCTGGAAATGCTCCAGGGGACAGTTTTTCCAGAGGTGATCTTTTATTAGTATGGGAGTGGCCAGCTGCCATCTTCATGCCTCATAGCCACTTATTGTTCACTGGCATCGCGCTTGGGTTGACCATTCTTTTAGGTGAGTAGGTTTTAACTGGGGCAAGAGAGGGTTATTATTGAGTAGGGGAGTGGGAGGGTGAGGCTGGGGAGGATTGAAGTTTCTACTCCTCTACACTCTGGCCAGGGAGGCGTGCCCTTCCCGCAGGGCCAGGGTCTTGTTTTATATATGCAAATAAACCACTTGTTTGGAACCAGTGCCAGCTTCTGTGATCTATGGGGGGTAGTAGGTGCAGTCCCTTGGGGAGACCAAGGGACTGTGAGTCTGTGAGAACTAGGGTGGGCCAGGGCAGCTGTTGAACTCAGGGCCTGTGGACAGTGGTTACTGCTGAGCAGGACGGGTAAGGGCCCGGAGCCTCCTGTTCTTCCTTGGACGTGCTCTTTCTCGCCATTCATCCCAGGTGTTCCAACATTCTGTTCAAGCCTGAGTTCCTATTAGTAATATTTGATAAACTGCTGAGAACCTACTGTGTGCCAGGTACTACGCCAGGCACGGGGGACTTGGAGGTGAAAAATATGCGTGAGATTTCTGGTTTCAAGAGATAACCGCCTATGTGGGGACAGAGGCATACATAAGTCACTATATTTTGATGATGAAGAATGAAATACATCAAATGTAGCAAAGTCATGTGACCTGGGGGTTGGAGGGATGCCTAGTTTCAATGGGGTAGCCTGAGACCACTGGAAATTGTTGGGGACCATGCTCCGCCCCCTTCCTCGGCATGCTGGGAGGTAACGCTTCCCAGCTCCCTGGCAGTTGGGTAGGACCACGTGACCATACCAGAAGCGCTGGCCAGTTCGTGTGTGCCTGACCCTTAAAATAGCCCTGTCTGCCTGCAGGATTCAGGGGATCCAAAGCGGGGAGGGTTTAGAGGAGCTGCAGATGGAAGGAGCCTGTATGACCGGGTGGGCCGGAGCCCCTTCCCCCTCATGCACTGCTCTGGGACATGACGAAGAACCTACCGTGGTCAGCCACTAAGGTGCGGGGGTTACTTGTTACAGAAGCTGTGTTGCTTACTCTGACTAATACAGAGAAAGGAGTCATAACGTACTATTTAACAAATATTTTTCTGATAAATGGAGAAAGTTGGGTTCAAATCCAGACTGGGGCACAACCACTATGTTGTATCATTGCTTCTGAAAGGGGCTCTTGGTTCCAGTGTTGGGAACTGGAATAGAGTAACAGTGGATGAAGGATGAGGGCCCAAGGGGCCCCGATGTTTCCTGGACAGCAGAAGGACACTGGAGGCCAGAGCCCAGCTCACCGTGTCCTTGACCTGTGGACTGTGTTCTCTTGGCCACAATTTTATCCCCAGACTTGAGCTATCAGTGGCCTCTAGGGAAAGAAGTGGGGGCCGGAAATGATGCCACTTTTGCAGAACAGCTCAAAACCAGCCTGGCACAGGCCCCAGGGACTTGGAATCACACTTGAGGCAGAGGCTGACCCTGTCTAGCTGAGTTGGGCAAGTTGCTTAACTCCTGAGTCTTATCAGGTATAAATTAAAGCGTAATACTTCCTTTTGTCAGAAATTTGAGGTTGAGGATGAGCTAAGATGAGGGATGAGAAAGCACTTTGAAAACCAGAAAGTGCTATTGAAATATGAGATGTCACTTTAAATTTTATACTTTTGTATTTCTCACCTATTAATTAGGAGTATTTATAACAACAGCAGCCACTGTTCCTTGCCAGGCATTGTGGTGAGCACTTTACAAATGGAGTTGCATTTATTCCTTACAGGCACACCATGAAATTGATGGTATTCTTCTCCATTTGTAAATTGGAAAATTGAAGCTTAGTGATGTTAAGCATTTGCTCAGGCTTATACTCCAGCTGAAGCTAATAAGGGATTGTCAGTTAGAAATGGATTCAGCATCCCTAGAAAACTAGACTAAAAGTGGTTGAAACATATTGGAATTTGTCTCAGGTAACAAATAGACAGCTCAGTGGAATAGTTGTATATCTATGTCACCAATGACTCTTTCTATCTTTCCATTTTTACATTTCTAATGTGTTACCTCATGATCAAAAAAGGGCTGCAGAAGCTCCAGGCATCATGGCTACATTTCCTGCAGGAAAAGGAAGGGTGAAAGGAGTGTGCCATCTGAGTCTGTTTCTATATTAGGAAAGCCTCACCTGCAGACTTCTGCTTATGTCTCATAACTTAACGGTAGCTAAAAGAAATAGGCATGTGGACATTCGGTGAGCTGACCCACCACGCCTGTCCTTTGGAAGAGGAGCGATTTGAACCTAGGTCCATCTATGTTTAAGCCCATGTTGTTACCTATGGTGCCAGATCACCTTCCCAGTTTTCTGCACCCTGTTGGCTCTCTTGGCCTGAGAGATGAGGATTTTGCCACGCTTGGATGAAAGCTGCTTTTGGGTGGTGGCCAGGTGTTGATATACTGAGCAGGAATCTTTGTGCTCCAAGCTGGTTTATTTGCATACTCCTGAGCCTTAAACAGCAGAAGAGGGAGACACGGAAAAGAGTGTAAGGGAGCAGAGGGAGCTGGGCAAAGGGGTATTTTTTTTCCTTATTTAGTTCTGGGCAACTGTCATCAGAACTCTTTTTCTCATTTTATTCTGAATGTAACATTTAACCTTTCTGTTCAAGCATCAAATCTGGCTTCCTGGTGTATAATTACGAACTTTTTTTTTTTGCTTTCTCTCCCCCCTTCCCCACCCTGAAAGCTTTTAAAACTCTCTCACTGGGTATCATCTCTCTCCTCCAACTCACCAATTAAATTAAAAATAGCAGCTCCATGGGGCTGTGCGGGGCCATCAACCTAACGCGGAACTTCTGGCATGCCAGGCCTGGCAGCTGCTCAGAGCTGGGGGGAAGCTTATCCTCCACGAGGGGTCTGAGGCTGCCTGCCAGGGGCAGCCAGGTGCAGGGGGTGGGAAGCGGGGTCTTGGCAGCTGGGGAGGGAGGGCTAGGTGGGGCTGGCAGAGGGGCAAAGGAAAGGGCCCCTAGCCAGGCCATTTCCAGCTGTGAGGGCACAGTCCTGCCACTTTCTTTTGCCAAGGCTGGGGCTTGGCACCCTTGTATTTGGGTTTGGGTATGTTTTGCATGCCTGAGTGCCCTGAGATAATCTTGGTAGAAGCTTTAGGTTCTGCTGATGCAAAGAACAAGGTCAATGTTAACATTAGAACCCTCCTGGCTCTAGAAGAGACTTCCATTGCCTCTCCCACCTTAGGTCCCCTTTCCGCAAGGAGGCCAAAAGTGGAATGGATAGGGGCTGGGACGGAAGCCAGACTGTCTGGATAAGCTTGCTTGCTGTGCTGCTTTCTGGCTTTGTTACCATGGGGGAAGCTACTTAACTTCCTGTGCCTCAGTTTTCCCATCTGTAAAATGGGCCTAATAAAGATGCATACCACGGAGTGACTTTGATGATTGCCATATGGCTTTGATGAGTTAAAACACTTAGCAAGTACCACATACGTAAGGGTCAGCTATTATTATTTCTGTATACATCAGCCTCTATTGAGCAAGTTCTTAAAAAAACAAAACAAAACCCTGGCTCTTCTGTTTATTTTTATTTTCTCACATGCAGATAGGTACTAGTGATTCAAAATGAACAAATCATCTTAGAGTGCTGGGTTGCTGTCCAGGAGGAAGCATGGCAGGGTAATTCTCTCCTTGGCTGAGTGATGGAGCAGAAGCATATCCTGCACACAGACCTATCGCGGGGATGGAGTGGCTGGCTTCCGGGAGAGGCGGTCAGCCAGAGGGGTCTTTCCATAGTAGTGACACCTGAGGTGACTCTTGCTAGAGCACCAGGACTTAGCACATGCTGTTATTTTTGTTTGAAATGCTTATCCCTGCCACCAGCCCCATAGTGGGCGTTTAGCATAGCTGGAGAATAAGGGCAATCGGACGTGGGGGCAGACGGAGGTGGAGGTAGGTAGGGCCAGCTCTTGAAGGACGTGGAGTGTCATGCTAAGGAGTGAAGGCTTCATCCTGAGGGCGATGGAGAGGCCTCTTGGAATTGTAAGGAGAGTCATGACATCACTTGAAGAACCGGAGCTCTGGTTACAGCTTGGAGAACGGCCCAGAGAGGAACCAGGCCAGAACAACAACATAAATCATGAAAACATGCATTCCATTAGACTCTAGGTCAAATGTTTCTGCATTGTTCATGACCTTGCTCCTCTCTGATGCCTTAGACTGGAAATTTGGTCTTAGTGGTACTTGCGGTTGTGGTGGGTTTGAGAGACAAACAGATCTTCCTTCCTGTCGTCTAGCAGCTGTCTGGTACTTGTCAGTTTACGAGAAATTGGCCTGAGCGGTGGCAGGAGAGGCAGCTGGGAATGTGGGACTTGGAGAGAGTGGTCACCAAGGTGAGAGAGTGAAGTGACGACATGGCAAGGGCAAGTCGTGCCCTGCCCCAGCTGAGAGCCTGCCTGGCTCCGTGCGCCCTCCCTTTCAGCACTGCAAATCCTGGACAGCTCCCAGCGCTCTCTCTTCCTGCTCCACTCCTGATCACCTACCTGTTCCAAAACGCCAGTCCCTGCTGAGAAAAGAGGAGCCCTGGCTGGCCAGAAAGAGTCTGGTGTCAGAATCAGACACCCCAGGCTTGAGCTCTGCTCCCGACTTTGCGTGCTGTGTTGCACGGGGCAAAGAAGGGCCCCTGTCTTGTTTTACTGCCTCATCTGCAAAGAAGTAATAGCACCTACCTCCCAGGGCT